TTTTTTTTTAGTATGTAAGTTTTTTTTTAGTATGTAAGGTATCTGCATCAAGCTGAAGTTTTTGGAACCACTTTAGTCAATATCTTGATAATTTCTGCAATTTTTTTTTTTTTGTGTGTGGGGAAGTGTAATTTGCACTGAATATTCTGATGACAACTCCTTTGACTAAGCTTTCTGTGTTTTAAAGTAGGGAATGGAAGTCTGACAGGAGAGGGAGGGCATCATAAGAGAATGATACAATGATTGATTCCTCCATATGAAAATTTGAGCCTTTGGGCCAAGTTACAAATCTTCCAAAAAATTACAGCCTGCATATCTGTTAGTGACTAAAAGCTGAAATTTTACATTCAATGAAAAAAATTCATGCTTTTCATGGGTTTTTTAGTGATATCCAGATTGTCTATGTAATGCCCTCAAAGAACTGCTGAGAACTCATCTGTCTTCTGAAAATTTTTGTGCGTGAGCCAGTAGGGTGTATGCAAGCCCCAAACCATGTGTACATTACAGCTTCAGGAACAAGACTGGCTATTGTGAGCAGAAGTGAGACTTGGCAACAGCAGGGCTGGGGTAGGAGGGAGGGAGGGAGAGAACCTCAGAGCTGAACACTCCTTGTGGATATGGGAAACAGGACACCAGGGGAGGAAAGGGAAATCACACTGGAAAGCCACTCTCCTCATAAAAGACCTATAAATTCTTCAGTCTAAAGATGCTGGGTTTTTCAGGCGTGACGTCTCTTTATGTGAAATTGCAAAACACACAGCAAGAGGGAAGATGTCTTAGGGGAAGGATGCAGAGCTGGGCTGGCTGCACCAGACAGAGTGTGAGCCGAGGGCAAGGCCTGAACCAAAGAAGAAAACATGGCAGGATAGAAGGGGAAACAAAGAAAAGCTGCAGGAGTGTTCAGGTCCCCTAGGACATGGAGAGCTAAATCTGTAATTTAGCTGCTTCCCAGATCTTGTATCAAAGGCTAATCTGACTACTGTTCCACTCTGCAGCAGAGAAAGCCTTGTGTGTTCTGAGCTCTGAGCCAAATCCAGGCGTTGCAACATGCCCACCATGTTGTGTGAGCCTACCAGAGCATATTTTGTGCCTCTCAGAGAGGACTTTTCCTATAACAGACTCAAAGCTTCCTCTGTAAAGGATATAGATAAATCATATTCTACAGGTTTTATTTGGAAATCATGGGAGCAAGGATGTTTTTAGGTTCTGGGAGCCTGGACTTAGGTTACTCAGGATCAGTTGGGATCTGTGGCCTCTGTTTCATCACTTTTTTGACTCCTGTTCCTGAAAAAAACCTCTCTTATCTCTTCCTCTTGCTTCCTAAGATGAAATAAGAGGAGTAGGTGACTTGGGTGTTTGTTGCCGGCCCATCCTGCCTCCCTGTGATGTGCTGCTGGCTGCTCTTGTCTCTCCATACCTGTGCCATACCTCTCTGAGCAGGCTGCACACTAAAGAAGACATAATTGCAATAAATAGAAAGTGACACACCAACATGTTCTTCCAGGCATTATATCAGGAACTGTGAGGAAAAGCCTGTGGGAGGAAAGCTGCGATAGAAATTCAGGCCCATTTAAGAGAAAAGCACTCGAGGCAACAGCCCACCAAGTTTGTGAGGTGAAAGGATAACTTGTATGCTTCCCTGGAACTTATTTTTGAGGGATCTACAGTTCTTGAGAGTTCTGTGTCACCTATTAGCAAATATCCCAGTCATTACACCTTCTTTCTAGTCCACAAAAAAGCTGACATCTAACATTTAATATAGTAGCTCAGAGGTGGGGAAACTGGTCGTAAGTTTGGATAAATAATATTTGTTGTTAATATGACACCAGAATGCAGAACACCTGCCTCCATATTTAATTTGCTACCTGGGGTGGATATATTGATTTTCTTTATTTTTAGGACAATGCTAAAATAATACTAAATTTGTGACATGATAAAGTTGTGGATTACACTGTTAGACCTGCTATTCAATAGTGTCCCCTCCTATGCACCTGTGTGTAATAAAAAATTTTTCAGGCAATTTTATTATAGGTTAATTTCCTTAACCCAAGCAGTATGCAGCTGAAATATATGGCATACTCTGGCACTGCTCTCAGAGCAGGTAGACTCATCATTTCTATTCACACCAAACTATAAACTGCTTCCACCTACCACCAGGATGAGGGGGAAAATAGCCATGCAAAAGATTGCTTGACTGAGGCTTACCTGTTAATGCTCACAGAACAAGCCCAACGTGCTATTTTGCATCATAAAACTTATGAAGAATTAAATGCATCCACACAATAATGAGCCATTATGGCTCATCAGAGGCTCAGCTTGCAAAGTCCAAAGTGTACAAACAGAAGCATACAGGACAAATCTGAACTAAGCACTGTACCCTGCCCTCTGCCTGAACCAACCCCTTACACGTATCTGGTAAATGATTTATAAACCTAAAGATAGCAAAGTATAAAACTCTATCACTCTCTTCACTTTACAAAGGAAACCCTTTCTGAATAATTTGCCATGTCTCTGAAAATGTTTCAAATTTTGGTGTCTGCTCTGCTGTTTACAGGTAAGTGCTTGGCATCCTATTTCATGGCATTCCCTTCATGCTTATTAAATAGTCAGCTGGCAAAAACCCCTGTGTTAGCACCAGAACAGCACCAATTCACTGGAAATCACTGCAGCAGGGACTACAGGAGAGTGGGTGAGCACAAGATTGCATGGCAGATTCTGTGAAATATGGTTTGATTCTGCCCCTTGTGACTACTTCTGAGCCTTTTACTGCTCATGTATAAGGAGGAAGGATGTATTTCTGACTGAAAGGCATTATTACAGGATGTTAAAATGAACTGTTAAAATTGTAAAAAGAATTAAAAATCCTTAACTGTTAAAATTGTAAAAAGAGCTTGATACTGTTTCTACAAAATCATTAAATATTATTCTTATCTCAGCATTTATTGTTTGTAGGAAACAATTTTGCATGCATTTATAAGGACCCAAAATAATCTATTTCACAAGTGATTTCTGGAACATGAATTTCTTAACATTTCTGACATGAATTTCTTAAGGAGACTGTTTTAAAGCACTCAGGCTGTCTGGATGCTGAATCTTCACAGCACTTTGTAACCAGGGCATCTACAACCAAGACTCAACCTGTAAAACTTGGACCAGAGGGAAAATGGATGGGGCAGGGCTGCCACATGCTCTTCACATGCTGGTACAGTCAATGATCAGTGATGCACGTGCTGCAGGATTAATTTGTTTCTCACAAAATTAGAATAAACCAGGCAGGCAGTAAGTGACAGCTGACTTCCCAAGTGATTGATTGCCTGCATCTTGACAAGATTCTCTATCCACATGCATGCATGAAAAGCATTTCTTAGATTTGAATGCTCCAATACACATGCAGTGTATTTACATGCATGTAATAACATGATGTGAGGAGCTAAGGCAGAATGAGGGAGACAATGATTAATTGTGGATTATTGAAAAACGTTTTGTAAATTGGGATCTCAGTCAGGTTTAATCTCTCTCTTGGGTTGAATTTGCTTCCATGCCATATGAACCTGAGTTTTGGCTGCAGGGAGGCTCTGTAGGGAAATAAGGAGATGGAAAGGGACTTTGTCTCTTCTGCAAGTTTGAGCTCACCTATAAACCTTTTCCCCTTATTTGCCCTTTCTGATCTGCAGTTGAACTGGTACAATTCCTGGGTACTTGCCTATCTTCTTGAACTTCACCTCCTTTCCACTGAAGGCCATTTATAGTGCAAACAGGGTCACCTGAGGCCAAGCTGGAAGCACAGCTTTCTTTTGGAAGACTTTAATCTTCTTTATGTCTCTTCTCTTGTTTTCAAAACTCTTTTCAAGTTTCTAATCTTCAAAATACGTGAAGAACTACTTATTACTACTTTTTAATGAGCTGTTAAAAATTTCATTGATCACAATCTTTTCAGTTTTTCATTAATTGTAAATCCTTTCAGCAACAGTGAAGGTGGTGGTAAAATAAAATAGAGACTATAACACTCTCATTAGATACTTATTTTTCTTCATGCCCTCAATTCAGTTGCTATAAATCACTCCTCATAGTAAACCAAGGAATAGGCTCTCTGGACCTTTTGCTTGAGCCTCTGGAGAGTGCAGCAGCAAGAGATGTGGTAGGAGTGTCATGTATTGGCACTGAGATAATTGCTGAAGTCTCTCAGGTGTCTGATGGGGGTGTTTTGCCACATTTGGATGTAGAAAGGAAATCTCAACAGGACCCACTGAGTGGGCCAATTGATTGGTGATTTTTCTAATAATTTTCTGCAGTGGGAGTATCTCCTTCCCTAGGATTATCTAGGATTTTTGCTAAATTGCCTTGCTATTTACCCATGCCTGAAAACTGGCCTGACCCCTGGCATCGTTGCACATATTGAATATGTTCAATAGCTAATTCTGCATTAAGTGTCTGTAACTTCTCTGCCTTTGCTGATGAGGGAATGAGGCTGATGCTGTAGCTCTAAGGATTGTTAATGACTTCTCTTGAACCAGAGAGCTCTTTGTGTCCTGTGATATAAAATTAAGAATTGTCAAATAATAAAATCTATTTTTCTTCAAGCTTGAGAAAGAAACAGATAAAGCCAAAATTTCAAAGACTGGGTGATATGGAAAGAGCTGAAGCACTTAATCAGTGACTTTAAATCTTGCTGTCAACAGGTATTAGCAAATATGACTGATTTAATTCTATTCTAAGGCTTCTTACCATCCAAACACTCCAGGATACAAAGCCTATGTACATATAAACATTTTAAAAAATAATTTGAAAAAGCAATGTGCAGGTGTTAGACATTGATATAATTACACTTTTCATCTGAAAAAGGGTGCTATCTGGGCCAGAGGTGGCCTGCAGAATTCACAAGTCTATCTTTGCTGCTATCCAGCCCCTTTATGCAGTGTTCTGACAGAAAACCACATCTGGGTTTCCATGGAATGCCACATAATCTAGAGAAATACTTGAGTGAGGAGAGAAGCAGCCACTGCCACATTCTTTTCAGCATTTGCACTGTGGTATTCTGAGTCCTCAGACTGAATCCTGTGGTGGTTTGACTTTGTGAACTTAGGTTTAGAAAGTCAGGTAGCTGAAACGTGGTGAGGAGCTGGTCCATTCTGCTCATTTCTAGTCTTAGGAAACACACCCGAGCTGCAGACTCGATTTACTTTTTCAAAGTTCCTAACACGTCAGCACCTGCCACCTCAGCAAGGTTGAAGTTTAGCTGTGTCCAAGTTTAGCCTCTGTCCAAGCTGTGTCCTGAAGAGCTGATAAGACTGGCAGCTTTACCTCCACCAGCTGAGATTTTGACCAGAGAGTCAATATAGTGAATAATAAGAAGAGTTATTAGACCTAAAGTTTCTAATAATAGACCTAAAGGAAAGGAGCCAGAGCAATTGCCAACTTTTGACATTTAAATTACATGGATATTAACTTCAGCAATATGTTTTCAAGTTGTCAGAAACTTGCAAGTCTTCAGAAACTCGTGAGAAGCAGTAGTGTGCACAGAGAGTGTTTGAAGTGCTACTAAATAATTTACAGGTTTTTTTATAAATATCACAAGAAATCAGAGATAAAACACTTTTCCCTGTGGTAGATGCACACCATGGATAAATTTTGGTCCTAAGCCTAGAGATTGCTCCTTACCACTTATACAATAGTGCTGGTCTAGATAAAAACAGGCTTTGGGGTAGAGAGTGCAAGAAGAAGCATATCCTATACTAAGGCAAGTTTGAAGTTTTGTCTTTTTATCATTAAACTCTGACATTTGGTGTGCAAATTGTGGCCTACCTGCTCTCCCCAGACTACTAAGCATACAATGGCTCTTGCTACTTAACTTTTACAAAAGAAAATGTATATCAATTAAATAGGTCCCTTAGCAGGCAAATGTGTCGAAATTTAATCCCATAATCAACTTTTTGATTGTGTGATGAAGGGGATCACTATTCAGCTGATAGAAAAAGATGTCTTCCTGGGAAGATTTTGTGGCTGCACCCAGCTGAGTATGTTGCTTTCTAGAAATCTATCCTTGTAAAGAGAAATATGCTTCCATTCAAGTCTAGGATGAAGAGATTTTAAAGCACAGTAATTTAAGATGCATCCAGGTTGATTTTCTATTTTGAGTGCAGTTTGCTTGATATACTGTGATATTTTTATTTTCACTTTGACATTGCATGGTATTTTATATGCCTTTTCATAATCAGACTTTTGTCATTGGTTGGTTTTTTTTTTCTTTTTTAAATATATTCAATGCTAGATTAAGTGCACATTTGATTTTTTGACAAAGATGGCAAGCCTGCATCACCAGCCCTCCTCAAGTTTAGTTTTAGATCACAGTAATCCAAAATTAGATGCTCAGAAGGCATGGTAGCAATAATAACTACTAGCAGTTTTCCCTCTGGACAATGTCTTGAGGTGCACAGGATAGACAAAACTATCTGCTCAAGGCAATAATTACATGAGCTAAGCATCTGCTTGCTAAAACCAGCCAATTTTTTTCTATAATTTGCTTCTCATGTGAGAACACTGAGTGAATCTTCAGGAGATGATGAAAGGAAACATTCTAACTGGTAACAGCTGATACAACCTTGGCAATAGTTCACCCTCCACATGCATTCCTTCTATTTTCCCACTGGGACATTTATATCAAAAAGTGCTTTTCAAATCACATATTTATCTAAGAGAGGAAAACAGTATTGAATAAAAAAACCAAACAACCAAAACCTTAAAAAACCTACAACATGTCTGGTTGCCCTTAATGGTGAGTTAACTGTTTCAGTACAACTTGAAATTCTTAATATATTTGCAGCTCAGCTTTACACACTATAAGCCATTTTATTAACATCATCCACCTGCTCCTAACTCCCTCTAGTCTCACATCAGATGCTCTGAAATTCCACTCTCCTGCTTTGTATGCTAATCTTCTACAAGATGCACTCCTTCAGGAATACTCTGTGTTTACAAAGCAAACGTTTCCACAATATTTTGCTAAGCTGTTCAGAAGGAGGGGGAAAATTACACCCAGACCAAGAAACTTAAATTGAGGCAAGACATGGTTCATTTGATGGAAATTCTACACTGCTTTCAGAGGGGCTGCTCAGATGGAGACACCTGGTCTGATGACTCCAGGTCTACATTAGAGCTGAGAGAAGACTTTACTTTCTCTGAGCTCTGCCAGAGCACAAACAAATGTGCAGCCCCAGTGAAAGACCAACAGGGCTAATTCTGTTTATGCTAGAAATGATCTCGCTGGAGTTATTCCAGAGGTGAATGAAATTTGCCATGTTCAGAGATGTCTCATGATCTTTACAGCAAGACAAAGAGAGAATGAGATAAACCTGAAGGGTTAGGTGGTATATAGAGGCACTTACCTGATTTTCTCTTGGTAATTCTGCTTGTTTGGAGTGCTCCAGCAGCTGGGGAGAAGCTCTGCAGAGACAGCTCCCAGGGAATGAAACAGCAGCTAGAAAAGAATAAGATCTAGGTGTCAGCATTGACAAGAAAAGCCAAGAGCAGAGCTGGCATACCTGCCTCTCCTCAGAGCATCAAAGTGAATACTTAGCATAGTTAGAGGGGCAGCCAGAGAAGGCTGTACATTAAAAATTGACATGTAATACCCTGAAGATGCAGCTTTCTTCACCACAGTAGCCAAGATAACACCTCACTGTCCCACCAGTGGAATGACAAGCTCATTGTTAAAGATGCTGGCAGCAAGAGAAAAACCCACAAGAAGCAGAGCTGCTTAATGATCTTCCTTTTTTTTTTTTTTTTTTTGCAGCTATTTAAAATTTGGAGGGCCAGAGCACATATTGGTGATAAAATGTAATGTTTAATGGCCCTTACTAACTATATGTACATTTAAAGAAAATGAAAGCCTTTTTAATGAGTCAATTTCTGATCCCAGTTCAGTTATTTCAGTCCAGAAATGTAATCATGAGCTTACAAAATAGTTAATAAAAAAAAAATTCTCAAAATTCACTTAAGAGAAATTAACAGCTCGTAGATTTTTCTATTGGAAAATAGTAAATTGGCAGAGAAATGTTGAAATTTGGCACAAGTTTAGTTTTCTCTTGTGCAGCTCTAGAATACAAGTATAGCAGCTTAATAGACATATGTATGAAATATATTTTCTTCTTTCCCAGCCTTCCACCAAATATCTGAATTTACTTTTTTTCATGGAGTTGGTAATATTTTTGAAGATGGTATTCCCTGAAAACTCCCCACCCTAAAACTTCTACCTCCAGTTTATGATTATAGTAACATGGAATATGAAGAACTGGAGTAGCAAGGAACTACTGGGACTGTTGTTGCTTGCTAAGTAGCTTTTTTAAAGTACTATTTGATGTCTATATTAAAACCAAAGATTACAACCACCCTCACTTTTTTTTTTGTTCATTACTGTATAACCAAACTTTTTCTCATCTTCTTTTTAAGCATTTTTTGCATTGAAAAGAAACAAAGTGAAAGGGAGCAGCAAACACTCTTGTTCACATATCTTCTACCTATATGAGTTCAGTAAATATTTTCTTCTATTTAAAAAATTAAAAAGCAACAATATTGTGGATGATCAGGAAGTATTTGATGATCACAAAATATTTTACGATCAGGAATATGATCAGCAATAATTACAAGTGAATTACAGCTTGATTCAGCAGAACATTGCATATAGAATCAAATATTTGATACACCCAGTTAAATTTTTCCCCTAGAAATTCAGGAATTGGGGCACTGGGGAGCTGTGAGTGAGGTGATAGGTTGTCCTGCTGAGCTCCTACTCCAAGGCTTATTAGAAAAGGGTTCAGGTTCTTGGCCCATCTATTCCAAGTGTGTTCAGGTCACCCTCAGGTGTCCATTTAAACCCACTTGACTAGATTGGAGCACAGCTGCTTACAGACACAGCTGTTTACTGGCCTCAGCTTGGCTGATGGATCTGAGCTCTGTCTTAATCAGTGGTTCATTAAAAATTGTGTGATTTGGACTGACATGCTATTTTGGACTCTTTTAACCCCAAATTGATTTATGTATCAAAATTAATTTATGTCTCAAATACTCAAGACTAAAAAGAAATTTTTTTTTTCTGTACCAGAGCCTTTCATATGAAGCTTGTGACCTCAGCAGCTATCTGAAGCAAAGCAATAACAAGATTAGAAGTGCAATATCATCTATTCAGAAAACAATTTCCAAGCATTCAATTTCTATGTTGATACTAATGAGAGTAAATATCACATATAAACCAGGAAGTTTGGAAACCATAGATAAATTCACAGGTAGGGTTTGTGTTATTTTAAATAACTTTAGGCTCTCAGCACACCTGAGATTAGTGCAATTACAGTCTAAGAGGATAAATTAGTGCCTTAATTAGGTTGTAACTTTATTTACTTCAGATTCAACAGCAAAATAATGATTTAGAGCATTTGTTTTATTAACTTCAGGTCTAAAAAGAAAGTTTCTTTTTACTTTCTAAGTAAAATCTAAGGTAGATTTTTTCCTAAGTAAAATCTAAGGTAGGACCACCTTTGATTTTTATTAAATAAACTACAGATTCAACACCATGGTCTGTGGATATCAGCTTATTATTGAAGTGCACATTCTAACATATTATTCTGATATTACAAATATTCATCAGCTTCTGTGTCGAGCGTCCTTGGAGCACCCTTTCTGACAGAAGAACCAGCGAATCAATTCATGCGGCTCAAGCGACACATTCCATGTTCTCCCAGCTACTGGGACTCCAGCAGCAGCCAGAAGACATGGGCACACACCCTGGCTGAACAGGTATCTTCTCCCTTCCTCCTGCAGCACCTACTGAGAAAAAGAAAGCATGGGTCTGGAATTAATGTGTAACACAAATCCTTTGGGTCAAGAGAAGACATTTTTCTGATTTATCGACATGTGTCGGAACTCAAAATGTCCCTCAGACATTTTTGGATGTTCCAGGCCCAGGTCAGAAGCATTTGAGACCCTGGCAGGCAGCTGGAAACAGCTGTGATTTTGGGTTTGAGCCATGGAACGATTTACCAACCTTGCAGGAAGGACAAGAAGTCACAAATGCTTAGATATTAGAGTAGAAGCAGTCACAAAGTAGAGGGAAGAATTTTTGAGTGCTGTACAGGGGGGTTTTGGTTTTGTACATGGGAGTCAGAGGGTTTAAGATGGATTTGGGATTTGGGCCTGCCCTGTCCTCCCTCTTTGTTCTTCCTTACCTCCATGTTCTTGGTGATGTTGGCACTCACAGATTGGTTTAGAGTAGAAAGGCACCATTTAATATAGGTAATAGGCATTGGGGAAAAACTGTAAACATGGAACACGTAATGTACCATATAAAAGATAGAAAAGCACCACTTAATATAGGTAATAGGCATTGGGAAAAATTGTAAACATTTACCATGTAATGTACCATATAAAGGATAGAAAAGCACCATTTAATATAGGTAATAGGCATTGGTGAAAAACTGTTAAACATGTAACACGTAATGTACCATATAAAAGAGAGCAGCAGCCCTGGGTGGGAGAGAAGAAGCAGTCAGATTCAGAGAGGATGTCAGGGTGTGTGTGTGCCTCTGCCTGAGCTGTGAGCAAACCACAGCAGCCCCAGAAGAAAATCTTTTAGATAACTTGCAATAAATCACCATGAGACTGAACAACAAGAGACTGCTGAGCCTTTCTTTGGAAGCTCGGGTTGGAGGAGAGACTTTCCACCACACGGAGCCACCCCAGACCTAGAGGTGGTCTCTGGCAAGCATGGGCAAGGCTGCTCAGTAGTCACAGAGAGTGTTTATTTGGTATCAAAGCTCAGTATATTCCTTTATGTCTTGATCTACTTCAGATTAGTGAATCGTGGGCAGCTCTGAGGGAAACAGCACAATCCTACATGGACTTGGAGCCTTTTGCCTTCGATCCTCCGACAGTTGTGTTCGATGGGGTTTCCCAAGAGAACATTTCATAGACTCGCAGCCTGTGTGTACCTAAGTGAGTAAAACTGACCCTTACAAAACTGCTGACATTGGTTTAATAGTGTCGTAACCTGACGCAGTGAAAAACCCAATTGTATCTTGAAAAATTAAGGAAGAATTGTTTCTACTGCCCAAGCTTAATAGTTATTTAAATGTGGTCATTTTTTTTGTGGCGGTTTCTTTTTTAAGTATGTTTTGGAAAAACTCATTAAGAGCTTAAAGAATGTATATCCTTTTCAAAGTCCACAGAAGCTAAACTGCTTCCTATAGAGTTGATTTAAAAAGCAGACAGAAAGCAATTCCCGAGGAGAAAACTAAAAGATAAAAAACCCCATCTCTTGCAACAAAACTGTATTCAGTGTGGAATAAAACCTCAGCAGAACAAAACAGAGAATGAGACATAGCAGTTGGTAAAAGCAGTATTTATAGATTGGCACAGGGGTATGTGAAATGAAGTGTTGCTAACTGTCTCAGAGAAATTGTTAAGGATTGTGCTAAAATTGGACACATTTTTGGGACAATTTTTTTTCAGATTTAGGGAACAATTACTAAATGATTCAACTGGACAAGCACAATACACACATTATTCCCATGAAACACTTTTTCTGTGAAGATACTGCAGTCCTTAAAAATGGACAGGAGCGGGTAGAACTAAACTCTACAGTTTCCGTGCTTAAAATAGTTACTAAGACAGCAATCTGTCAGTCTGACTGAAACCACTAATTGGAAAATGGGTAAACTTCTCATGTACTTTGATTTGAATATGCTTTGAATTTTATTGACTTAAAAGTCCCTTTCTTTTTGAAAATGAGTTTTTCATTTTGAAATGCAGCCTTTGGAAAGATCTTTTATTTTTTATAAGATAGGAATTTGACTTGGTGACTCTTAGAGTGAGCTTTCCAGGACAGTTCCACCTGAAAAGTGACACTAGTTTCACTTACTCTGAGCAGAAGAAAAGTAGGAGAGAATAGCTAAAAGCTATAATTTACCTTCCCTCCTGCTGAGGCTTCAGCTGGTGCCCTTGGGCAGCTGGAAGGAAGCACGAGGTTATTAATTCACAATTTCTAGTACTGATATGGGCGGATAGCACCAGTCACTTCTGCCTTATGACAAGTTAACCTGAAATTTACACATTTACATTTTACCTAGTTTTCTGAAACAAACCCACTGTCTTTCCCATCAGAAAAATTCCTCACAGAGAAAAGCCCTTTGTCTAATTCCTGGTTGTGCATCCATGAGTCTAATGGCTGTGATTGCAGCAGCTGCCAGGCAGACTTCAGGATGAGCTATGCCTCCAGAAAGATAATCCTAATGATTGTCGTATGACAGGATTAAAGGCACTTACATAAACACTTTTGCAGGCACTCCCACTGAAATATGGTTATGATTTCAATGCAAGGCTAGTTAACTCACAGACTGAAATAAACTCCCAATGCTAATGTGACAGGAATTGACATCTAGAGTTTTTGAGAAGCCATTTAGTAGTAAAGAAGCATCAAGCTAGAAGTTACAAGGACCATTATGTAAAACCTTATTTTTCTTGATTAGAGACCATTCTGAAATTGAAAGCCTATACAACCTGTGCAGGAATCTGGTTCAGGGCTGTACTTCCAGAATAAAACATTTGCAAAAGCTGGCAAATCTGAAGACTACAAATGTTGACAGGAGATTTAAATTAATTTTGTGATTTTTTTTTTTTTTCTAAAAGCAATTTATTCTATCTTTTTTTTAGCAACAACATCAGATCCTGCATGGAGCTACTGCAGCAGTCTGGGACTCACCTCCAACAACAAGCTATCAAATCCTACACATCTTGTATCTGGCCATGTTAAGATATGGCATATTATGTGTTTGCCATTATGTATTTGATAAGATGACTTTATCTCATCCCAGTTGGGTCTAAACCCAAAATTAACACACTAATTCTCTGCATAAATACTTCATATTTTATATTTGTAAGTAGAACTGAGATGTAGGTCATGGTAAATTGAATAAGAAGTTGAAGAAAACCAACCAAGAACTTTTAGCAGGTTGGGTTTAAAAATGCCTAGTGTTTTCAGGTAAAATATTCTTTTGACTAAACAATTGTTTGAAGACATAGATTCCTGCTTCTGGGACTGAAGACCACATTTGTATTTTCTCAGGATTTTCCTTAAACATGAAACATTTTTGAGAGGCAAATGAGAAATGAAAATCAGTCACTTTGGATGGGTGAGAGAAGTACAGCACATTTGCTTCTCTGTAGTTCAAGTGCATTTCCATTTTTTCAAGTACTAGTAGTAGGTGTTGCAGTACATCCATTCATGTCAGTGCTCCTCTTTCCTTATTTAATCTTCTGTACTTGGTCTTGAATGCCAAAACCGAGTGAACTCACAGCTACTATGTGAGTTGTTTTTTCTTACTTCACAGAAATAGGAAACGGTAGAAACATTCACAGCTCCTTTTCCATAAAGAAAACAGTGGTGACAAATGTACTTTATGTTCTTGAGCTTGTAGGTTTCCTGGTTGCTATTAAGTAATGTGCCTTATTTCAGAATGTCTTTGAAGAGAGGATGAGGCTTCCATGTTTCTTTTATATGTTATTAATGTAATGCTAACAATTAAAAGCTTTTTCAAACTTGGTCAAAATTTCTGCATGAATAAAAATGACCTGTTGATGAAAACAAAATATATGGTAACCTAATGGCAGGGTAGGTGAAGGAAGGAAATTTGTGCTTGCTTTTTATCCCCAAAGAGCAGTTTCTGCATGTTGTGCTTTAAGAATTCTTTGTGAATATGGACTGTACACTAACTGGAACAAATTTGAAGATAATGTTGGTTCTTCTAGAAAGAAATCCACATTCTTGCTCTTTGGCAATCTCTACCGTGCTTCTAGGTATGAAACTATCCTCAGGCCATTATTAATTTCCCTGCATAGAACAATGGGCCTGAAATTGCCATTATTCATTAGCTGAAGATGAAAATTCATTAAACACTTGAAAGAGATAAATGAGGTGCAAGTTCACTATTTGCCATGTAGGATTTCACATCTTTAGTCACACTACTTAATTATGTACAGTTCATTCAAAGATAAGGGGTGACAAGTGATGTATAGGCTAAAGACCTCACTGGTTAAACACAGTCATGGCCTGTCCCTGCTGCCTGCCTTCTCTGCACTGGTCAGCCTTGGATAAGCTAGGGCTACAAACCCTAAAAATTCCAGCATTTCCAGTATTTTCCTCAGTAGCAGCACAGACATGGCAGAGTTACTGAAACTCTTCAATTTATAGCAAAATGCAGGGCTGTAAGGATAAGCATCCCCTTTTATTCCAAGTCGATATGCATTAAAAACTCCAAGGATGCACCTGCTCCAGCTGAGCATCTTGCTGGTCCCAGAGAAGCTGCAACTCTGCAGGCATTGATGCCCACACCACTGAAGCACTGCTCTCTCCTGCCCATCTCCCTCATTGATGTTGTTTCTGTCAAGGCAGGGGTTTGTGACTATCTGTGCTTTAACTGCAGTTTTCATACCTGTGTGTCAGGTTAAACAAAAACGGGGGTAGTTCAGAAGCTGCTTTGCAGACACACATCCCTGGAGTGGGGATGGCAAAGTCCATCAGTGAGGTGGAGGGCAAAGTGAAGTGTTATCAGCTACCATCTGCTATCACCTAGTGAGGTAACTGCCCAACCCCTATGAGCCATTTTAGGGTTGTCAGAGCCATAAAATTAGGATAACCACTGTCTATTGCCACGAAGACAGTCTTGCATAAGGCTGGCTTTCAACCAAAACATCAGACAATGCCAGGGGATGCAATTTGACAGATCTGTTGTACTTAGACATGACTAATTCCTTTAAAGGAGTTGTTCTGAAAGCCAGAGACTCAATACTCAATCTGCAAATCCATAGCTTCAAGCTAATGTCAGTAATTCAGATAATTAGTCTTGCTGAATTAAATGGGAAGAATTGTGCACGCATGAGTAGTGGTGGAGGATGAGGTGCTTATTTTGTGTTATCAAATACATGCCACTCATGACAATGAGCAAATGTCATAGTATTTGAATATTAAACACCTGCATCTGCATTTATTAACAACTGGGGAAAATATTTACCCTGTGAATTTGCTCCCCCAGTTTATCTTCACATATTGTTTCAGCACTTTAACACAAGTAAAGCTGGACTCTTTTTTGGTGAATTTTCCAACACATCTTTATGTTTCCACCTACAAGTTTTACCTCCTTGCTTTTTCTACACAACACAGACACACATGCAATACCTTAGCAATGACAAAATCAAAGAATAGTGTTAAACTAAAGAGAATTTCAAGTACATGTGTGCTGGTCATGGGAGTGGAATTACAGGTCTCAGGGGATTTTGCTTCTGGTGCAATGGAGAGCAGTATTTATTACTATTTTCTGAGTACTGCAAGTTTTTTGAGGGAAAAAAGCCCTAAGGCAGAGCTCCCTGAGGCTAGAGAGAACAGAGTTCCTCTGAGAGAGGGGGAACAGGCAGAGAGGGAGAGGAGTCACAGGAAGATAAGAGTCAGGTTTGTCTCTGTAGATGTTAACTGGATGGATGCAGAACGTCCACCAGGCAGTGTGATTTTCCAACTCTTTCTGACTCTTGTGAGCATGGTGGCTAAAACCAACAGAACAACAGAAATCAGGATTTCCAGGTATGTCATGGTTGATATCTCTCTCCAGCAGCAGCTTTTTGCCAGGTAAGGCCCTTACAGGGTATCCCTCCTATGGGAGTGGCAAATCATTCACGGTGCAAATCCTTCCTCTGAGCACTTGCCTATTTCCCCAGCTTCTTGTATCCCTAATTATCCCAGTCTAAGAAGAATCAAACTGCCTTTGCAATCTCTCCTGCTCTGTCAAGTTGAATTGAAAACAGCCCACAAGTTACAAAATGACTGTGGCTAGCCGTGAGGGATAAACACATACCTACGGAGACAGCATGGTTGTTTTAATGAGAAAAGCAAGTCATTCTGAACACAGCAAATAGAGAAAGCTGTAGAATCCAAGTAACCTATATATAACCTATTTTACAAATGTTGAGTATGGGATAAGTACTAAGCTACAGTTTTCTATAAACTCAGCAGGTGAGTATATAGAGGTAATGAGAAAGAACCACTTATTTTATGACCTGAAATCATTTCTT